TTTAATCTGCAACTTGCTGATGCTATGATAATGATTCTGTTTGCATGAGAGCGCTAAATCCTCCGCTCGCCTGAACCACGGATGGCTGTTGGCAGCGAACAATGCCTTCACTCACTCACATTCTAGCACGCAGACACAAGCAGTATCACATGAGTTGCCTCTGTGCGCAAGTATTATGTGTAAGGAAAGCAGAGAGAGCTCCGTATATAATTAACCCCGACTGTAGTCAGCTTCAAGTTCTGGCCGCTTTATCCTACAAAGAAATATCCTATTGTGCCCATTGGATTGGAGGTTGGGTGGTCGGGTTACTACACTGAGTCCTCTGAGTTACTAAATCATTTGGAACGTAAGAGTAACGCTGAGTATTTTAACTACTTACGTTCTCTACGTTAGAACGCTGGCCTTGTAATCCTGGGGTCTCGGGTTCGATTCCCGGCGGTGCCCGAATTTATAACTTGTGTTGGGCAAGGCCGTGGTCTAGGCAACACGGAGTTTTCCTCCGGGGGCTTCCCCGGTTTCTCCGTGGCATCCCATTCACACACAGAAGAAGGCAATGGCAAACCACTTCTGGATCATCTGCCAAGAACGTATATGAACAGGTCCCAGTCCGAGAAAAGGATGGAAGGATCCTGTTCATATGAACCTGTCGTCAGACAGAACACTAAATAAATAGATCCGAATAGGAAAAGAACATCATAATCTGTATTCTTGATCTTATTTTGTTAGTGCGGTCAAACTAAGAAGGTTACGATGCGTGTGTCACGTAAAATACATGGGGAGATGATAAATTAAAACAATTCAAGACAAACAGAGGCTACTTGAGAGCTCTAGCCTATATACGAGGGTAATTAATTGGTTAAGAAATGCAAGGTCCTAACGTAACTAAGAGTTCTTCACATGGACACGCGGGAAGTCCTGCTTACACAACATAAAATTTGCCTTGATTTCAAGAAACGTCTCTCACGCGGGCGTAGAGCTAGTTCGCCTGTCTAATTTTAACTGGGGTTTTACAGATCTTCCAACTGCTGCTTATTGGGACGAGCGATAACAGTTTAGCCAGTGAAGTAACTGGACGACAGCGGTTCTATTCCCGGCAGGCGTGTGATTTTTCTCAGTCCTTTCCTATGGAATGTACACGGGCGACGAAGAGGTCTCACTGACCTCTCACCTGCATCTAGAGCCAGTTTATTGTGCGTGGGACGTTCAATTCATTACCCTGCCAAAGAGTTACCGTTGGACATGGGAGTAACGTCGTTTCCTCGATATGAACCAAGCAGGTTAGTGCAGAAGTAAATGATACGTCGACCATAAAATTGGGTTTCTAAGACGCAGCTTCGAAACTTAACTACAATTTTACCACAGCTAACGATCTGTAAGATATAATAACTGATTTTGGGTGTGTAACATAGTTAAGCTCTTAATTCGGATGTAACCAGCTGTTGCCAAGGTAATTCAGCAACGGAATTATTATGTTTACAGAGGAACCCGGTTACCAATTACGTAAAATTGTATATTAAAAAAAAATGTTATTCCTTTAAAAGCAAGCAGACAATACATTTCTTTGAGAAATCAATGTGAATCCCTTCCCCTCTGAACTTCCTGTAGATCGTCTGTGTGCTACCGGTTCAAGTTCTAGTAGTTTAATTTCTCTCTGAGGCCTTTGATGGCGGACACTTCACTCTTCTCTGCTCTCTGCTGTATAGAAAAGTTTACCTTTGCAAATTAGATGCTATTGAATTAAGTAAGCCCATTAAGTTACTATCACCTCAATTGCTTTCGCTAGGGCACCGCGCCAGACTTAATTTTATTGAGTGACCAGTGACGGAATTAGGATACTGGAGTAATGGCTCTTGGATCTGTCCCCCCAAAATTTTATTGTTAGTTGGATACTCAGGTTGTGACCGAATCGACTGATTTCCATCACAAAAAAGCAAACAAATCTTAACTTGGAAAGTAAATTTAATTTAACTTGTCCTGAATATTAGTATTAAAATCCATCAATATACACTACGACAAATTGAATGTACATTAGTGCAGACAGCAAGAAACTTACTGTGAAACGTAAAAGTAAATATAAAATTGTCAATGACTTGTAATTTCATGTGGATGAAAAATTTCCTGGAGATGTCTGAACAGCCACGACACGTAAGTCAAGGTTTTATCTCACAATAAATAGTTGTGTTGATGACTTGGATACAGGGGGTTAAATATTACCGGTAACTAAACTTTTGGCAGTAGAATTCCACTAGGTGTAGTGGTCACAATTCCATGACTCTGTCTGTGGTTTCTCGTTTACGATGACGTGATGCACCACGCGAATTTAAATTCGGAATTAAAATTATGAGAAACTCAGTGCCTTTTATCCAGGAGAAAGGATATTACATTTACCGTGTTCTGATTGTTTCCACGTGACATTTAAACAAACCACTGTCTTTATATTCCATATTTTTTATTATTTATAGAATAGAAATATTTATAATTAAAGTTCCGAGACTGCTTCTTGAAAGTGTGGTATCAGTTATTTTAAGATGCAGTCTTTATTTTAAATAATTATATCAGTTTGGGTCCTTTTGAATCCGCCACTTAACAGCAGATTTCTCATCTTGATCCATGTCAAAACATCGCAAAGGGAGTGATTTTAAACACGCTAATGGGATCAGATTAACAACTCTGGGGTTGTAATGACTTAGGGGACGGATGAGGGGGATTTGGGAGGGGTAGTGGTTCTTTAACCCCATTTAGAAACCCATTGTGGAGAATGTAATCAGGGCGACTCAGTCCATTGAGCGTTATGATGGCAGTGGATCGGACCAGCAGGTGGTTCCTCCACTCGAGTGGACGGACCC